TGGAAATTATGAATTAAATGTACTTATTTTTATAATATTATACTGCATGGTGATCTATACAAAGCCTTTAGTTTGAATTCCAATTGATGATGAACCCAAATACTTTTCAATATCTCAGAATATGTAAATACCATTAAAGTGTTTGTAGACCGTATTGTCCCTGAAGGGAAAGCTACCCTTTCACCTTTCGCCTTCAGGGCCATCTGTCAGTATCCGTGGGCGACCAGGGGACCCCTTCAAACCTTCACATAGAACCAGTGAAGCCACAGCGAAAGAAAGTGCTTACTGTGACTGCACGTAAAACAAAATGTAAGAGCAGTTTGCCGCTTTATTGTTTCTATGGAGATGTTTGTTTTGCATCGCCTGGAATGTATGGCCAACGTGAAACCTCTAAGGCAAAGCAGCATCTCCATAGAAACAAGCAAATCCCAGATGCCACTCCAGACAAAATCGTACTTCTGTATTAAACTGGAATATTGTAGCTCTGGGAAAGCCTCAATGGCCCTCGACTTATAATACCTGATATTCAACAATTATATGAACAATTCACAGCATATGATTCAATTAATGTGGCCGTCTAACCACCAAAATCTAAGCCCATATAGTAAAAAGGGCTAGCATTTAATTTCTAAGAAGAGACTGCGTGGACAGAGCGGCTGAGCTTGTAATGATTCTTGACATTTGCCTCCTCGTGCTTAATGCCCAAAGCAAGCGTAAGTGGAGTGGAGTCGCAGCTGCCCTGTTTAACGTGCACATACTGTAGCAGCTCCAGGCTTCGACAGAATGAGGTCTGCGGTGGGTGGGGGCAGACACGCTGACATTGAGTAGTCTTTGTCTCCAACTGCAATACCTTTGTCTGTTTACAAACTGTGGCGTAGGAACCAGTGGCATGTGTGTTCACTAATGGCCCTCAGAAGAGTGCTTTATTACTATATTCCATACCAGAGGGGAAAATGAATCAATTCTGCTGTTATCAAAGAACGGCTTTTGATGTAGAAAGATTCTGTCGCTGCATGGTGCTTTTGGTTCATCTTTTTGAATGTAATTATTTTTAGCCGTACTGAGTGGAATAGACAATGCTAACCGGCTATCCAGATATATGGAGCCTAAAGGGAAGTGCTTATGGATGAAGTTTTGTTACAGTTTGCTTTGGCTTCATTCACTTACATTGAAGAGTGAAGTTCTCTTTCCCTGCAACCATTGTTACCACACTTACCATTTTGACCTTTAAAATCCTGAAAGATTATATTTTATTTTGATAATGTCTCTAAAAACTGACCAATCAGGTGCCTTCTCTCTCCAATTTTAGCTTCTACTTGCAAGTAGCTGGAGCGGACACAGAACAATGCAGCCTCTGATTGGTCTTTGGTTGCTAGGTCGTTTCTACTCACATAATTTGGCTCCAGATTCCCCGTGCATGGAGCCTGTTTGAATGAGGTCTAAAAGGCTTGTTATGTGAAAATGGAAACACAATGGGTGTCCACACCCTTCTACAGTCTATATTTTTCAGCAAAATTACTTACACTTTATACATTTGTGGAAAATTCTGAATGATTTTGTATTCGTTGCATTTACAGGGACAGACCTAGAGACAGTGTGGCTGTGACTTGTAGGTTATACTTTAAAGCTGCACTAACTGACTTTATTTTTGTATTCATTACGAAAATTCGATCTACTGTATATCCATGCACTGCATACGTCCTTTTGAAGAAAAAGTAGCGCAGATTTGTGCTGCGTGTCATTTAATTTTAGATCGAGTTTTGGTGAAACAAGGAAGACAATTTGTTTCGGGTCCCGATTGTGACCAATCACAGCGGACCACCGGCCCCCGCTTTCTTGAGAAAAGCTACAGGTCTCTTGTTAGCACAGACAGCTGAGGTAAACAAGTGGCGGAGGCTAACCTGAAGCTTCTCGTGTCTTTGTTACCGCTTACTGCTTACACAGCGAAACAGCCATCCAAAAGAAAGTCTCGTTCCTCTGCGCTTTCCGGTTCAATAATTCTATGGTCACGCCATCCAGGTTCAAATGTGTCCATATTGTGAGACGTGAGCTCTGTACACAGTTAGCATGAGCAGAGGCTGAGGGGGAGGGGGGTAGAGAGCGCGAGCTCAGCGTTCTGATTCAAAAGTTTCTCAAAGTCAGTCAGTGCAGCTTTAACATGATTCAACATTGGCTCTGTTAATTTGCCTCAAAGCTAGTTTGAGGTAAAATGCTACAGCAAAAATCCTATTTCTTTCTCTGCTATTGATACTGATTCCCCCAGAGTCATGTGACTTTGATCCAACACACAGAGATGGAGACTGGGATGCATTGAGTATGCATTGGTCAAACTAATTAGAAGGGATAGTTTACTGTAGGGCTGACGTCTGGCCTTTACTGGCACGCTGAGAACCGCAGATTGTCACACTGGTTGACATTTCAGAACATTAGTGTTTGCTGTGTGTTCATTGCAGGAAAGATGCATCTGACATCTGCTTCCACATTCACCTCCAGGGCTCAGTCTTCTGCAGCAGACGACAAATTAGCTTTGCTGTGTGAAAGTGTTTATTTGTAGATGCAATATTTTTGAATTAATTGAAGTCCTCCCAAAGTCTCGCAATCATGTAGAATTTCAACGTGATGCGTAAACTAAATATTTTTTATTCAACATAGAGCTGGGGCAAAGTTTTTTCATACATGCAAGAACTCAAATGCAACATTTGAACAATGGTTGTACTACAGTATATGCTGGAGTAGTTCCTATCTAACCATGTATTTGATACTAGCACTTTTTTTGCTTCCATTCTCTGCATACAGTCACACCAATCAATGAATCCAACTGCAAATTACTGGAGAGGAGTGAGAGTAGAAGTGTGTGGTAGTCATTATTTAAGTGGTACCAAAATACATTTCAGAGAAGTTCCGTTCTGTCTCTTCCCAGTCTGACGTCTTCTCTCAGGCAGAGACAGTGAAGGCCTGAAGTCTCCTTCAAAGCCACCACTGTGTTCTGGCAGAAACACTGTTTTTGTTGGCCAACAAGCCTTGGGTTTTCAGTCTGCTGCTCCGCTCACTTGTTAGCCACAGATTAATTAGTGCAAGTCACCTCAAAACCAAAACATGTTTCAAGAGTTTTGTGAGGAAGCTTTTCAATGGTGATTTTCTTCTTTTTTTCTTTAAAATGAAAAATGTCAAATAATATTGAGAGTGAAAAACAGCCACATTTACTTTTTACAAACTGCTTGAATTAAATGTTAATATATCACATTTTTGATGGTATCCTGCTGTGTTAACTTTTTTTTTGTTTTTTTTCTCATTATGCCTTGTTTTAGGTTGATGACATGATAAAGACACTTTGTAGACCAGGGGTTTGCAAACATCCCAGTCTTTAAACAAAGCCCTCATAAAAAGCACTGAATAAATGTATGAGTCAGGATCCCAACTGCAAAATTACACTATATAATAAAAAAACGTAGATTTGTATCCCCAGATAATAGATCCACATGTACACAGCACGTTTGACCTTTCCTCAACAAAAGTTTAAAGTAGAGTTATTATTAAATCAAAAGATTAAGATTAAGATTAAGAAAATACAATGGACAATAATGTACAAAATAATTATGTTCACAATTTTCAAGCAGATTATCCAGAATGAGTAGAATGAGGCTCTCATTCGGTTCGCCACTTTGTTAGGTGAAATGTAGCCAAGACCATAAAAAAATAGCAGCACACATCTGTTTAAGTCTGTTGAAAGCAGAGCATAGAATAGCCTTGGTCATTCATCTTAAGTGAGACTTATTGAAACTCGCTAAATCAAGGTTGGACGACACCTCCCGGCCGAAGCGGAGAGAGCGGCGCTCTCTGAAAACACTGTATGTTGTATCTGCGCCTTGATCATTTTCTCACAGTAGCAGCTGAAGTGCTCACCTCTTTTATCTGGCCGTGCAATTTTCTCCAAATCCAATACGCGCCTCACATCTCTCCGAACTCTCATTAGGCCTCTTTTTCACCCGCTTATTGTGCTATTGATTTCCATTGCAGTTATGTCTTTTGGAAGATTACATTTTCATATAAGTAAAATGGTGATGTGGTTTTCCAGCAGCAAGAAGGCTATAGTGCACTGTGGCGATCCGCTCAAGCATGTACTTTTCAATTCCATGAGTTCTGCAGGGACTTTTTGATCTTTTATTCCCACTTTTTTTCTCAATTTCTACAATGGATTTTTGAAAGTTCTGTGTGATGAATTTGCACAGCTTTTCAAACTGAATCAATCAAATCTGCCTTTCATAGCTAACACTTAAAGAATTCCTTTTAGTGTGTTTTAGGGCTGCACGATATCTCACAAAAACATTGTTATTGCGATAAAAGCAAGTGCAATATTGACATTGTGATGATGTGCAATACTTCATGCCCAAGTTTGTTTTTTTCTTTGACCAATCAAGTGCAACCCCGATTGCACACGCTCAAACGTGCTTCAAAGCTTTTTGCTGCTAGAGCGAGCCCACAGACTCTCGAGGAGAAAACCAATACTAACACAACGTGGTTGGAGAAGAGATGAGCAAACACCGGGACAACTCTTTATTTGGGTAAAAAATGCAGTGATTGATTGATCATTGTCAATATTCACACAACTTCTGTGTGTGATACATCTTATACTTATTTTCATTGCTCTTAACTTTTGTATTGCATCACGAGAATATTTTTGTTTTACTGTATGTCTGCTGCACCACACAAAATAAATATATGAAATAATGACAATAATGTTTAAATATTCATATTGTCCATTTATTAAATTGCTTGTTTCTTTCAACGTGCTGTGAAGATTACTTTTGACATTCAGAATGTCACAGCCGTCTCCAACCTCCCTTCAAGCTTCTTTTTATTACGGTTCTAATAATGTATAAAATGAAAATTGATTCCCTATTTTGAGCTAAATCACTAATAAGTATTCCATGTCCCGTTCCTCTAATCAGATCCTGTTTGTTTTGTCTAAATGCCTTTTTGTGTCTTGTGTCTTGTGGCAGCTCTGAGGGACAACCGCATTGAGCTGGTCCGTGCCACATCGTCGGAGCTCACCATCAGCATCAGTGACGTGCTGCTGTCGGACGAGGGCATGTACACCTGCTCTCTCTTCACCATGCCCATCCGGACGGCCAAGGCCTACCTCACCGTGCTCGGTGAGTCCACAGACTCATGTTCCACATGAGCAGACCGGGGCAGGCAAAGCGTCTCAGTGTATTAGTGATTCTAAAACAGAAAATATAATCATCTTATTTTCCACAAATGCTTCAGTTTATCCACAAAGGGCTGACACTAAAGCAGTGATTCTCAACATTTTGTCACAGAATTTTTTGGGCAACAATTTTGAAATGTGTATGTGATATCTAAAAGTCATCTAGAAATAAGTCACATTTCTTGAAGGTAGACCCTTGATTTAAGAAAGTAACATTAGGCATTTATGTGTCCATAAATGTTTCATCTTAAATTATATGCAGATAAATCCTTAATTTACTCAAAATAAAATGTAACATAGCTCAAAAACAAATGTACGATAATGTGTTTCAATGAGTCTGCTTAAGTGTTTTAAGTTTAATTTTAGCTTTTTAGTATTTTTCAATGTTTATAAAAAAAATATTGTTGGAATATTCACAATATTTCAGATTAAGATTATATATGTGCTAAATTCAATTCTTATATTGAAACTGAAGGGTCCCAATACCATTCGAGATGAGAACCACAGCTCTTGTTGGTTCTACTTAAATCTATTTTAATTCATTTGTAGCATTATGGAAATAATGCTGCGAATGTTTTTAATGTTTGTGCTTGAGAAAACTTTCCCTCAATATCTCTGGCGCACCCCTGGCTTAACTTTCTAGTTCTGTTGTATTATTTACAGTTTGAATGTTATTTTGAAGACTATAACAAATATAATAGCTTCTATCTTTAGATCAAAACACAGTGTTCTCTTTCTGGTTCTCACAAGAAATGTGAATCAATACATGGCTTCTGTTCCCCCCACACTTGCTTGCTTCCTGCTGATTGCATTACATTATATCATCGCTCGTGCAAAATCCCACTACACTGTAAGGCTCTCCAATCCTTCAGCATGTTTTTGTGTTAAGATCATCTGCACGCACAAACATTGTCTCATTTCCTGTCGCAAAGGTTATTATCTTGCCAATTAGTTTCCACTAATGTTAATAGATGTGCTCCTGCACTCCAGGACCATTAACTGGTTTGGTGTTAACAAGCAATGGGAGAATTACATCACATTAAGGCCCAGTGTTCAAAAGGGATGTGGGGAGAATGATGAAGCAAATAAATCAATAGTTAATGCTGTGAGCTGGGTGACATAAAAAGATTGTAATAAAGGTGCGTGGAGGACATTGCATACAAAGAATGATGTGGTTTTATTTTACTTTTATTACAGCCCTTTTACGATTGTACAAGCTGGATTTGTACTCCAGCGTATTTCAATATATAAATGCATATCTTAACTTGTTTTGTCTGCTAACGGTTTTACAAAAATCCTTTCAGTTGTATCTTTACAAATTTGTTTCATATTTGTTTCAAGTATATATGGAGAATTGTACTTATTGTACAGTTTCTATTATACTGTCCATATTCTTCTTCACAGCGTCCTTCAAAGTCTCAGTCACAAAGAGATGTTTTAGTGCAGTCATGAAGCTTACAGGATGTGCTAAGATGGACAAGGCCAGAGAGACTCAAGAGCATTGACTGACAAGGCTCCAGCCAGCTGTAGCTGTATTACTCATCAACATGAGAAGAGGACCATTGGAAAAACTACTAATGAACATGTTCTGTACGACCTGGTGGCCTTGGCTGTGAACACTGGTGTTTGCCTAATGGCATGTACACAGTGATCATGCAGGGAAAAAGGAACTTGCTGTTCGTATTCGTTCAATGAATACTAATCAGTCAAAGCACCATTCAGCAGCAGAGATGGAGATGACGCCCTTATGTTCCATGCCATAAATTGTGAGTGTTGCCTTCTCAGGTGTACCTGCACAGCCAGAGATCGATGGCCTGACGAAACCGGCACTGGAAGGAGACCAGATCACCCTGACCTGCAGCAGCCAGGGCAGCAAGCCAGCCGCTGACCTGCGCTGGTACAGGAACGAGAAGGAGGTCAAAGGTATGTCTCAGAGTAAAGGCTTCGCTCTCTAATTCTAGTGAAAACATAGCTATATTAAGTGTAGTTTGCAATCTTCTTTTTATGATAATTTCCATTTCAAAATCGTGTGTATCTCACTCGTAAAATTGGTGATTAAAAAGGGGAATTATTCTCACACTTTCTTGTATCGTTTCCGTTTGCAAGTTTCTTACAAAAGCAGCTTTGAAAAACACGAAGAAATGTATCCAATGAAACATAGATGTATGTATGTTGGGTTTCACTACTATTTCTACTTCCTAAATAATTGTTTTCTTGACACCTTTTTTTATAAACCAAATGTGTTTTTAAAAAGACAAATTGTACATCAACATTTTATTTGTTTACTTTCTTGCTTTGTTCAGCACATCTATAATCTACTCAAAACGCAGATTAGTGTAAACAACAACATTAAGATGAGAATGGCTGTTTTCCAGTCGCCAAAACAGAAAAGAAGCAATTGTAATCTTAGTGTAATGAGTACAGCTCGCATCCAGGTGTTGCAGATCCTAAATGCCTAATCAAATGTTGTAAAGTTCCCTTCATGCACCAAACACAGCAAAGGATTAATTAACACTGAAATCCTTTCTGCCAAGGCAAATGCTTTTTCTCATTATTTCTGCATGAGTGTTCGTGTTTGTGGTTCTAGTATTCTCAGCTTTTGTGGAGTTTGCGTACCCTTGATCAGCAGTAGTTAAAATCCATTTGTATTTATGTCATTTGCAATCTGTTTCTGTTTCCTCTTGCCTAATGCTCGTTCCAATCCAAGTTCTTTTAATTCAAAATATTACCTATAAGTTAGAGGCGTGCTGAACTAATGATCATTTAATGCATTGGGATACACTGTCTCGCACGGACAAAAACCAAGATGTAATATGGTAAAATAAATTATTTAATAGTAGGGATTTTAATGTTAAGAGATAAAAAGACAAAGGAACAACAAAGGGCTAAAAACTCTAAATCTAAAACCATCCAAGATAAGGACTTGGATTGGCCAGGTTTAGAGCCAAAGACACCGGACATGGTGAGAAAGGCCACACACACACACACACACACACACACACACTAAATTCCAAAAAGGGAGCAAGATGAAGTACCAAGGGCCATAATACTGACAATTGGTAACAACAGTACCAGTCTTCTTCTTCAGTTCTGTTTCAATCCAAGTGCAACTGTACTCATTGTGTTCAAAAGAAAAACACAAACAAGAGAATTATGTCCAGATCCATATTACGCTTAAGTATTAGTTAAAAAGTTAAACACATGCAAAGGATGAGCAATAAACAAAACTTTGGATGGGACATATCATGACAAATTATTTATTTATACTATATTTATTTAATTTGACATATGTATTTCCCACATAAAACAATTATTCACATTTACTTGCATAAACATCAATAGGCTAGTGTCTTGCCTAAGGACACAACACTAGAACCTGGTGTTCCAGTAGTCATCTGTCTGTTTAAAAACCACCGATCTGAGTTCTGATGAGATCAAACTTTGACGTACACTATGTTTAGAACCTCCTTTTTACTCACACTTAAGCAACACTTAACCACATATACTGTACATCGCTGGAGCACATTTCCATAATAATAATGCATATATTTATGCCTAATGCTAGTGTTGTGTAAAATTAAAAAAAAGTAGGTTATTGCATACTAATTAGCAGGTGATATGTCTCCCACAGGTTTTTATACTCTCTGTGGGTAATTATTACAGCTCCCAGTGGAATACTGAGGACGTAGGTGCTCCTTGTAAACGATTCTTTCATTTCACCGGGCTGTTTAACAGGTAGCTGGAAATGTTCTCTCTGAGCTGCTGTAGTCTTAAGGGGATATATCATTCTCATTAAGAGTAGATTGACAACCCACAGGGACTCGTCTTGGACATCACAGAGGAGCTTCTCAAGACTTTTAATTAGCATTAGTTGAATAATACCATATGTTAAACTACACTTAAGGATAAATGATCAAATTGTTCATAATTGTAAATAAGTGAAGATTGGTTTATTGTCCGCTGTTTGTTGATGATGCCTCACTGACATGAATGAGATTTGAACGAGAGTCTGTGCCCGGAGAGAACTGTGTGAACAGCCCTGTTGTCCTCTTGTTGTTACCGCCTTGTCGCTGGTCTTAAACCTTCACACCTCAGTCTGCTGTCTGTCAGGTGGGCGTCCCTGGTGTAGATGAGAAGCAAGACAAGCCCAAATCAATAACCCTTTTTAATGCTAAAGTGTGTACAGAGGGATATTTATTGATACTAAAGATGTGGTTCCACACACTGACACACTGATATAAATGCATTTTCTTAAGGTGGTTATGTATCTCAGTATTTCCTGTGACATTGGTAGTTTCTAATATTATGGCAAAAATGAGAATATGTTTTAAACAAAAAGGAAAGATTATTTGAATAGCAAGGCAACTCAAAGTGTTGAACATAACAATACAAAGGAAAACATGGAGGCCAATCCCTGTGCTCCTCAGAGTCTGAGCTGGTTCATATGGCACTAGCAAAACAAAATACATAAGGCAAAATATCAAAATATAAATTTAGATTTCTAATCAATTACGTATTTTCAATTGCAGATTGGTCAGAATGGAAATAAAATGTCCTGTTTACGTCGTACAGAATGTAATCAGTTGATTCAAGTCATCATCCATTAGCTGATGTTTGTGTATCACTCTTTATACAAAAGATAACCAACATGATACATGCATTTTCTTGTCAATCTTCAGTGTTCATTGTGAGATTGAGGGCAGTATTGTGTGGCATAAATGACAAGTGTGGCATATTGGTGAGGGATCTTGGGAGGGAATGACAATATAATAGAGAAGGGCCATGCACAGGGGTTAGCACAGTGCTATGCTAAGTGAGATTAGTATTTAGATTTTTTTATTGGAGTGAGAGACATGTACTTGCATGCGGAACTGAATTCAATATTCTTATTTGGTGGCCTGGATCCCCTCAGTCTCACTCTGTACTGCTATTTTTCCTGTCTCCGTCACACTTATCCCACTGAGATTTCTGCCAATATCTCCACATGTAACTCTTGTTTACACACCGCTGAACCAGAGGGACCGGTGGAGAGACCACGGAAAGGCACAGATTAAATGAATATGTATTTCCTCGATATATGGGCTGGGATTTCGCTATTGGGCAGGCATTATCATAGTGTCTGACCTAAACTGCAAAGGTTATTGCTTCATCGTGTTAGGCTGTATCAAGATCCGAAAGAAGATAAACCAAAAGATTTGTTTTAAGCATCCGTATTCTATTGTCAAAGGTGGTTTTGTCACAAAATAGGCAATTGGATTGCAGACATAGTATAGTTTAAAGGTTATAGATACTATACATAGTGGCTATTGTTGTGAAACTGGAACCACTGTCGGCTTTCAAAACACTGTAGCTTATGACCATACAGCTCAATGAAAAAAATACGTAGGGTGACTTTTCTTTGCAAATCTGAATAGAATATTTTGATTAGGACGGCAAGCCATAATCATCAAAATTATAACGAAGGCTTGACATATGTCACTTTGCGTTTAATGAGTCTGTATTATATGTTAATTTCATATTTTATTACAGATAATAAATAATTAAATGTTTGGACAATATTCTAATTTGCATCTGTACAGTTACAGTCTTGATGTAACTTTAGATATATTGCTAAAGTGAAGTCTGTCTTTACGCAGCTGGATTGAAGAACTCCCTGAGACTAAATCAATAGAATGAAATTGTAATCCCTTTAAGTTTCAAGCCACAAAAGCAAAGCTTTGTAAACATTTGTTTGCTGTTTGTTCATTGACGGCCAATTGTCCTTGACTTTCATGTAATAATGTGGCTTTTATTATTCTAAGAATGGCAGTTGGTCAGTTAGGGGAGCGATATCTCAAAGTGGATCAGGTTTAAGTTAATTTGACTGTGAAGAAGAAAAGACTTTTTGTTGGAAATATCTTCTTCAAGTTGAGTCTAACCTTGCTTACTGTTTAGCTAGTTTGCTTTGGGATTTCAGTGCAGCTCCCTGGAGTGCGCTGGATCAATGACTATTAAAGATGTAATTTCAACACGGCTCCTACAGTAGGTCACAGTGGCATGAATAAAAGATTATAAAGCTCCAAGTCTTCTGGCCTGTACAACTATAGACAAAGATATGAAACCTTATATTCAAAAGTATTGAGACATTCACAGGACTATAGAGGATATACTTACCTGGACCAGTGTACAGCTTTTCACATTCTAATGACAAGAATTTACACTGCACCTGCCGAGGGCCATCTCTGTGAACAATGTGGGATTTCCATGTCAGAGTTTAGAAGGCCTCATAGCGTCTCCCTGGAGTCCGTCATCAGTTAGGACAGTCCAGAGCTGAGGAGACAGGTCTGAGCAGGACTGCCAGGCCCTGATCCCTGGACACAGACGGGGTAATAGATCATGTCCACACCTCGCTATCACTGCTCCTCCTGGGGATTATTGCCCCAGAGCACACTACTACACGCAATAAATGATGGCCCTATCAAGGCAGAGTAGTGCTTTTGTCTACAGCAAGATATATTTATTTGTTTTTATGTTATCGAATTGCTGACTGCACTCTGTAGTAGTAGACTGAGGTTTTGATGGATGAGATAAACAATTGTCATTCGGTAGAAATTTGAAAAATTCTGTATTTTGTGTAGTTTGCTGTGTTATAAATGAGCCATCTTTTTTAGTTTTCAGTTAAGTCAGTTCATTTTATCAGCTTTTTGGTGCATTCTTCCTACCAAGACAGGTTGAATGTACAGTTGTATAACTTCAAGGCAGTATGCATGTGAGGTTTATTGTTCAATAAACTTGTCCACCTCACAAAGTCAGATCTGGAAAACTAATTCCACCATGTTGTTCTGCATTTCGAATCCATATATGGCGCAAAAGCTCTTGAACTTATCAGACTCCAGAAGGCAGATGAGAAAATACAGTAGAAAGAAGTGTACATATCTATCCTCATCATGTTTTATGTCAATATCAAGGTGAATACCAGCTTTATTTCTATAGCACAATTACAACAACAAAACCTCCACAAAGCGCTTCAAAGGCACAAATGAAAAAGATAAAATTGAGTCATAATTTATTTCTATTGGCTCAATGCCACCATATTGAGAGAGGTGATTATTCTAAATTATTCATATTACTTTCTACAAATTCAGAAGTTCATTTCAGACATTGACCAATCAATAAATTGCATGTATTTTTTCACACAGAGTGTGTAAAGTTCCAGTTTCAGTGTCTACGTACAGGAGTTTTAGCAAACACAGTATCCCATCCTCTGCTATCTCAGTCTTGAGTGAATCATTTGAAAGGGTCAGCTTCTACTTTCGTACACTTGTCTTTTGTGTGTTCAGTCGTCAGAGGCCTGGGCATTTGGCTCATGGTCTCTTGTCCACCCACAGAGCAGCTGCATCTCCCTCACACTCTGCCAACACGCTGGTTTAAGGCACAAACAGCACCGAGCACAGACGAGTGTTGGCCATTTATAACACTAAATACTGTCAACACTCCTGTATACTATCAATATTTTCTAAGCTCCATGTTTGAGAAAAAAAGATAATGGAGGATACTTGCATTATGGATAAGCTACAACTGTACACCCCCCTATCTATATTGACACTGAGATGTTGACAAACAGCAGAACACATATGGCTTCAGTGTTTTTAGCTCTTTCACTTCATGTTTGCATTTTCACTTCATTAGACTCATGCATCTCGCACCTCTTCACTGTTCCATCTCAATATAAAGAAAGAGTGTGTCCAGGTTTCACTTTCAAATCACTGCATTTGATTCATACAGCTTTGGACTTTTTCAGGTCTGGCAGCATTTCTATACATATCATGGCTAAAGGCTGCACTTGTGTATGATTATATGCTTCAATAGTGTATTTTCATAAGGAAGATACAAAATAGAGAAGTTGATGGATTCATGCGTTACCAAAACCAGTTGCTCTCATATGATTTTAGTGTATTACAAAATCAATGCAATCTTATGATCATTGCACAGAAGCACCTTTCTCTTGTACCAAACAGAAAAAATCATCTTCTACAGGATCATTTCAGTATGACAGAGATCTGATGACCTCTGCAGCTCGTGGGCTGATGGTGGCCAGCACAGCGGCTGGGGTGGAACATGTCACAGCTGAGAGTCCATCATACTGATTGAAGTACCTAAAATTTAGATCCTCAACACAATAACAGCGCAATCAACTTAAAATACAAGCTTTTGAGACTTGCAGGGGCATCGGAACGCATTTAATCAGAGTTTATGTCAAATAATGGCCAGTCTGTGTCCACATATTCAATATTGAGATGTAACGCTATATTAAGTCACATTTTCGTGTCCATAAAAAACAAACAGATGCTTTGCCCCACATCAGAATAGTTGCATAGAATATATTTAAATCATATCTGGATTTTTTTTTTTACCATATTTTTCCACACAGTATGCCTGCTAATTTACAGTATGTGCGGTCATTATAACCCCCGAGGCAAATCAAAGGATATTGTTACGAGCTCCACGGAGGTCAAGCTGCCCTGGCCCATTCATACTTTGGAAAAAATTGTTGTGGAAAAATCTCAACTTTGGAGCAACCAAATATTCTGACAACACATACAATAGGGCAAGAAGGTCATGGGTTTGACCCCCAGACCAATAGAGGCCTTTCTGAATGGAGTTTAAATGTTGTCCCTGTGTCTGCGCAGGTTTACCCAGGGAGCTGTTGTTTCCCCTCCCAATAAAAACATGTAGAATACTGTAGTTCAATGTGAGTGAGTTTGTGACTGTGGTTTTAGCACAAAGGCTACAATCTGCAGAGGTGCGTTCATTAATATGGACTGTCCACTCTCAGTCAAAATAAAAAATGAACAAAAGTAAAAAAGTTGAGGTTGTGTGCTTGGATGTTGCTGGAGCTGCAATGCACTCAATCACGTCTCACTGTGGGAGGCGGGCTCAGATAGATAAAGAGACTGAGCTAAGTTGAGTCGCAGCGGTTTGCGCTAACCGCGCGAACCAAAGCCACTTGGTTCGATTCCACCTCCAGATGGGGCCTTCCTGTGTAGAGTTTGCATTGTTTCTGTTTCTGATTTCTTCTGGGTGATCCGGTTTCTCCTACCACTAAAAACATGTACTAAAGTACAGGGTGAATGAGTGTGTGTGTTTGTGAATGCGACTGTGGGACAATGGATGCAAATTAGCCCAAGGCTACAATCCAAAGAGATATGTTCATTAACATGCGCTGTCCCTACCAAATAATCAATAAATAAACTGAATCATGTAAGTTGTGACTTGTGGAGTGTTGTGACTTTAAAACTCAACACCAGCTTCTGAAAGTTGCAAAAGCTTCTAAACCATAACATGAGATAATAACTGAATACTGATGATAGTTGGAACATGAAAAATTGCAATCAAACCCACTCGCTCAAAGCCAAAGTACTCTGACCAAAAGGAGTCGTTGGATAGATTTGAACATAAAGACTACAGCCTGATATAAAAAACAATGTCACCAGAATAGTATAGAATCACATATCTTAAATTACCATTTTATAACATGTTTTTGAAGACTCCCATTGAGCCTGGAAAGCAGCAGCTGCAGATGGAGGGCATTTGGACATGGCACAGGACGGTGGGAGCCGCCATATGCACGACCAAAAATGGTGCGATTAGTGGGCAATTTTGGATGACTTGTGGACACCTGTACTTTTTGGTAACACTGAGCTGAGAAATCTTTGCCAATAGAGTGATGGTAATGAGGGTGTTCAGCTGTTCACATCGCAGAGCGGGTGTGGCAGCAGTGGCTCCATGGGCAGACTGTACAAATGCATTGGGCTGAGAATAATCATGCACTGCATTGAGGCTGATTGAAGTCTAAAATACTTTTTTAACATTTTGGACGGTGAGTCTGCATTTGCTGAAGGTGAGGGAGCGCGAGAATATGTCATTTATTCACGCATTGTTCAAGAGTGTTCTGTGAGACAAGAAAAAAACTGTCCCTTTCGGCTGGTTTCTGCAACATTTTTCCTGTACAAAAATGTGTCATGCATGTTGAACATCCAAATGTATGTATCTAATGATTTGTATATGATCAGTTTCTTCTGTAATCTAATGCAAAATCTATTTAACTTTGCATGGTTTGTGCCCAAATGTCTATAATAGCATGTGAAACAATAGCTGCAGTTTCTAAAATAGTTTCTCTTCATGTCTCTGAAGGAGCCAAAGTTGTCAAGCCTATGGGGAAGACATACACGGTGCAGAGCTTCCTGCAGCTGCAGGTGGACAGGAACGATGATGGAGCGGTCTACACCTGCCGCGTGGACCACGTGTCCCTGTCCCACTCTCCGCAGCAGGCCACCGAAGTGCTAGAAGTCCACTGTGAGTACACATGTGGCCACACACCACTGAGTGAGGGAGGGCTTGGCGACTCTAGGTCAGCAATACACTTGTTTGTCTTTTATATTCCAAGAGTTCATACCAGAGGTGGGACAAAGTCATTGTTTAGCAAGTCACAAGTCAGTCTCAATTCATTGCCCTCAAGTCCCGAGTCAAGTCACGAGTCAAGACAGGCAAGTCCCGAGTCGAGTCCAAGTCAAAGGCCAACAAATCTCAAGTCAGTCCCAAGTCCTACGGTTTGACTTTCGAGTCCTCTCGAGTCTTTTTGACCGCGATTTGTTTCTTGTTGGTCTCCACGTACTTTTGTAGGCAAACAAAATAATGTTAGGAATCATTTTGCTGGTGCATTCTCGTTGGTCTCTGACCCATGGACTAACAGTTTGTTCCATGTCGTTGGCTGCTGATAAATCAAAACTATCTACGTGATCTAATTGGATGTTGTGCCAGATGCAGGCTCAGTTACACATGCACAGACCACACATAAAATCAGAGCAGTCCGTGTCAACATACTTTTTATCTTTGGGGTTTTTAATGGGAAGTAGCAAGTGCAGCATATATGAATATGAGTATTGGGCTAGGACCTGTATCTATATAATCAGTTTAATGTCCGTAGTGGTTATTGTTCCAAATGTCCTACTGTAGAATAGGGGTAGTATGAGGGGTCTAGGCTTTGGACCTGGGGCAGCTCGCCATCAACTGGACCAGCATTAGCAATATCTCATAATTACCAATATATCATTACATAATAAAATGTCTCATATAAATTAATTCAATCAGTCAAAGCACTGATTCTCATATCAATGCACCATAAACAATAGTGCAAATATTAATCTAGCTTAGTGCACATAATCAAAACAACTATCTAATGTATGCAAACTTTAGCAGGAGGAGCACAGCAAAAACATACTCATAATAATAGGCCTCGGCGCCCACACAGAAAAATATAAGAAAGAGCCAACAGAGCAGCGCAGGCTAGCGCTAGTTTGACTCACCAGTTCCTCTTTAAAACACGGCACACAGTGTGACAACTGTGTCGATTCAATTGTATGAGGCGCCTGTAGTGAAAGCATATCAATTACGGTTTGTAGAACAAAATATGACGTTAGGTCGCAATAAATACCTGCAGCTCGCTCATTTCCAGCTCCCCTAGACAACACACCCACAGGCGAACTCTCTCGCGAGCGCTACAACTACCGCAAGGCTTTGTTTCTTCAGAGACGGCATAGATAGAAAGAGAGATGCGGAGAAAGGTAAAAATGGCCCGGGTTAAGCAAGTCTTTACAAGTCAATTGGCGCAAGTCCAAGTGAAAGTCAGAGTCATTGATGTTAAAGTCCAAGTCGAGTTGCAAGTCTTTTTATATTTGGTCAAGTCGAGTCTAAAGTCATCAAAATCATGACTCGAGTCTGACTCGAGTCCAAGTCACATGACTCGAGTCCACACCTCTGCTTCATACAAATTCATATTTTAATTTAACCCTCACTTGTTTTTATATTTCTCTCATACAATAGTGCATATTATACAGAAAACAAAGAACAAAATACAATACAAAATGCAAAAATACTGTATATGAAAAAACATAAAATACTCCTAGTGTATCCTTGTGTATTTCTGTTCATCTGTTTCTTATTGTCTTCACTCTCCCCAGACGCCCCACGTGTGGAGATTAACCCCCTCCATTCTGTGCCTCTGGAGGGTCAGTACCTCAGACTGGAGTGCGTTTCCAAAGGCAACCCTTCGTAAGTCCCTTCAGCGCCACACTTTCCAATTTCTCGTTTCACATATCCTAACACCGTGAATGACTGACCTCATAGGCCGGACCCTGTGCTGTGGACTAAGGACGGAGGTGAGCTGCCGGACTTGGACAGGATGATTGTGGAGGGGCGGGACCTCACCTTCACCTCTCTGAACAAGACGGATAACGGGACGTACCGCTGTGAGGCCTCAAATCACCTGGGCACAAGCAGCGCCGAGTACAAGCTCTATGTGTACGGTGAGTCCAGACCACAACACCAAGTACAAGCTCCAGACGGTGAGTCCAGACCACACACACTATATGCATATGGTACATAAGTCCTTGACTTCCAAGTCCAAATCCAAATATCTGGCCTGGGACTACAAGCCAAGTCCAAATCTGGTTGAAGCTGCCTTATTTTCCAAGGAGTTTCCCCTGCAAAACTTGGGCAGAGACCTGGACATGCAAGTCCAAGTGTCTGCCCAGTATAGTCCCAAGTCAAGTCTGAGTCTCCGGACCCATAATCCCAAGTCCAGTCCAATTGAGTCCAGACCACAGTGCTGTATACAAACTCTCTGTGTATGGTGAGTCTAGACCACAGCGGCGAGACCTGGACTTCTAATTTCTTGATAAAATCCGATCATCCTGTACGGTGAGTCCACAAGCATGACCGAGTCCAAGCTTTACGTGTTTAGTCAGTCCAGACACATGAAGACACAAGATAGTGTGTATAAACCCAAAGTCCAAATTACACTGCATCATTTTTAAACAGATAAGTATGATTTTCAGCACTCTAATCTAAGTCATTCTTCTTTTGTACATGTTCCATTATTTGCGTTAAAGATTCCATGATAATGTGTTTTCAACATGTTACTTTGTTTTTCCAAGAGCAAACATAATTTGAATACACAAATCAAGATAAAAAAAACATCTTGATAACAAACAAAGAATGTAGGATCAAGAGGATGGCAAATGGAAGTAATGTGTGTTTAGTATCTATAACACTTGATATCACTTTTGTAGGGCAGTGTATTGCTACATTTGCATACAGTCTTGTGCATTGAGCGATTAGTGCTCCCTCCCACACTGGGGGATAGGGGCCTCAGGTGGCACAATGTCTCCAATGGCTTTCCTTAAATAAACCATCGTCCCAGATCCACACAACATTGAATTTCACTTGGAAGGATAAGTCTTTCCCATCCAGTGCAGATTCAAGAAAAACCCCTAAGCCTTTGACTGTTTTTTTTATTATTGAAAAAAAAAAATCTTTAATATGCCAAGGGTTCATTTAAAGAATAATAATATCACAGTGTGGATGAACAACTTTCACACATTTATAAGAGCAATGCCAATGCAGTTTGGTTAGATATTACTATTAAACCTCATTAAAATACTGATAAGATTACAGATAAGAGATGTACAGTTAAGTTAATTAGGCTTTCAGATTGATCAGTGCTATACATTTTTAAGAGTGTTTTCTTACAGAGATGTGGTAATAGGCACAGTATTAAACCCTCAGTAACTTTTTACTGACCTTCATTAAATCAGGAAAGTTCCTTTGAGATTTCAGAATCTCTTTTTCACAAGAGTCATGGCCCAGAGAGACGGGAGCTATTGTAACCTTTGCAGGCATAGAGAGAACATGCAAACTCCACTCAGAAAGGTCCTGTTCAGAGGTGGAATTGAACCCAGTAAATACTTGCAGAGAAGTGGGAGTACTAACCACTCTGCCACTACAGGGTCAGATCAGACTGTTTGGCCATGCACAAGTTCAATGGGGTGGTATGATAGAGAAGGTAAAATATGTTTAATTTAAAAGCATTTCACTTCAATTATTATATTTTGCATGGTTTTAGAAAAGAGCAGATCAATAAAACATGTCTTCATTAAAATTACGTGTGAACTGTTTGAATTTAAAAGCAGAAGAAATGTCTTGAAATAAAGAAAATACTCCTTATGTGTATTATCCTACAGTATTATCCTACAGCAGAAATACTTCTACTCGTCCTCGGCTGTACAGCTGTGGAGGCTGAAGGGCAAAACAAGGTTAATATGTATAGTTCATGAAGTACTGAGGGCCAGGACAAGTCAAGGCCACAAAATGGAATCCTCCACCGGCTCCTTTAATAAGTAATAACCCTGTATTTCAACTGGAGTTTCTGGCTGTAAAAACTAAAATGTGCACTGCTATGACCGTGATACAACATTTCAACTTTTAGAAGAATTCAGTGGAATGTTTTTGAGTATTTTTGTGCAATGTGCTGCAGTCAAATGTTAAAATGATCAATTCAGATTCTAACTCAGGAATGCACACCAAACTAACTACGTCGCTCAATGAGAAGGATCAAAACCTGAGGAAAAAAAATGGTCTACCCTTAAGCAGCACTTTTTATTTATGGGTCAAACTATAAAAAGTCAAATTAATGCCATCTCTTCAACTGGACCTGGTTCACCTCGGGGGAAAGTGCTTGACAGATCTGTTTCAAAAGATACAAACTGACCGTGCGCAATTGTTTGGTGGTTTGACAGCCACATGTATTTATTTTGGCCCGAGTCAACCAGAATTGGTCCAGACCCAGGCCAACAAATGTGAACGCACCTTCAGAGAAGCCATTCGCATAAGAATCTCTTCAAATGTCACCTGCACCAACAAGAATAACCCACGTGCTTAATGACACTGATGCTATTAGACTGACAAATTCAGCTTCTCCACAAAAAGTCATTTGGGAACGAGGCAGGTCAGAAAGTCTTCACCAGATTCATTACTTGTTCTTCTGAAATGGCACCATCTCTATCCCCGCGCTTCATTAGTGATTAGCACGCCTTTTAGCCTTTCGCAATTGCTTCCATAATTCTCGGGAAATACCTTTTTAATGGTACCTCTACAACCAGAAGACGCTCTCTCTCGGTCCGGCTCGCTCTCTCTCAAAAACATCCACAGTGCTGCTTAGTGATTCATGCTTAGGAGGAAATGTCACACAGCCACACAGGACACTCGCCCCAGAGATCGCAACGCAGCCAATTAAAAACCGGACAGTAAAAATGTACAAGAAACAAAACATAAAAAGTTGAAGGTACTGTTGTAACCTCATTAACTTTGGCAAAGCATGTTTTCAGCCATTATTCTTCATTTAGAACGGCTTTATTCACCACAGAAACGGACACGATACATGGGTCATGTATGATTCTGAAGGAGCAACTATCAACGATGTGAATGTTATGGCATCCAGTCTCAGAGAGAAAAACAAGTTATAACAAATTAGCTCATGCATAAGTGTTACGACCCGAAGGACAAAACATATTTGAGGATAAAGACAGGTTGAGAGTGGTTGAACATGTTTATTTGTTTTAGTTTTTAACTTGTTTAGTTTTCTAATGAACTGATTTTCAATAATACGCCAACCTACCTGGACAAAAAGGCAAGACCTAAAACCATGGGATAAAAGGTGCCCAAACATAACAATAAGTAAATCATTTTTTTACGATGCCAATATTATCAAAGGAATCAAAAAAGAGTGTAGGTGGCCCTCTCTTTTTTCACTTTTCTGTCTGAAAAAGCTGATCTAATTATGTGATCAAAGCCAAATAATACATGAATTAACACTGTTTTCAGCTCCATAGCAACTATTTATTTAGATGAATTGCATATTTTATTTTTTGGTTTGAAAATTAGGTACCCCAGCTTTAATGCCTCAGCAATGTAACATTTGACAACACATTTCACAGAATCTTGGCACATTTGCTTACACAATTCACCGAGTATCTCTGACCACAACCTCTGAAGTGCGGAAGCTGTGGGCCAGGTAAGTACCACTGCTAAACCTGCTAAAAACACCATTTTGCATCAACATAAGTTTTAATTTTTCAGTTTTAACCTGTCTTGTATGTGTTAGTTTAAGTCATATACCCTCTAAGTTTGCCTTCACCACATTGTTACCTAACCACACCCATGTGAATTTGGTTTTGTTGTTTTTTTGTGTATGTGTTTGCCCCCCACCAGACGCACCCACCTCCCCACCTCCACCCACCACTGCCCCCATCCATCCCTCCACCCCAGGTTCCACTGCTCAGTTAGACAGCCCCGTCCGCAAGTCCTCAGTCACCGAACAACGAGGTACAATACTGCCCTCTGCTCATGCATGCCCGTTCTTCTCTTCTGCCTCTTCTGCCTGTGTCTGGCTCACACGGGGCCCCCTGCTTCCAAAAGCCTCTCTTTTTGCGCCACTCACTCTTGACGTCGCCGTGTTGATATGGTTGAAAATGGTTGAGTGAAATAATCAGTGGGATATTTTGGTGAGGCGTGTGTATGCACATGAATGGATGTACAGTGTGTTTTTGCAGATGACAATATTTGAAATGGCAATATTAGTCAAATATAAATGTGCCGTTGTGTATCTTAAGATGGATAGAAAGCTTACAGATCTTGCTAGCTCAGTCACATGTATATAAACTGCACCAGATAAATTTTAAAATAAAGTACATTTTGTCCTCATATAGGCTACACTTGAAGGTTTTCATGTACTGTAAAAGGTTATCAACAGCGGAAATACAACTAACTGCTCTGACTGGACACAAGATGAACAGAGGAGGTGTTTGAATGCACAGTTGACTTGGTGAATACAACAATCTCAGGATGCACACATTCACTCGAGTTAGCATGCTTAGCCTATCCTAACCCAACTGTTAGCGTCCATGAATCATTCACCAATCTATTTTGACAATAAACGAGCGACTAAGACGTGTTGGAGTCAATACAATCCAATAATCCATAGTAAATCCATGACTTGTGCTGACAACAGCCCAACTCATTGGCAATATTACAGTGGATAGTTACTCTGAACTTTGTAAAGCGCTTTGGGTGACCTTGGTCGGTAAAATACGCTACATAAATAAACATTACTTTCGCACATTACTATGGATAGATACATAGATAAACAACACTGGTAAGATGCAGCTACTTAGAATCATCAAAAGTAAAAAAAAAAAAAAAAAAAATACAATAAGACATGTAAACCAGGGTTAAACCATATCAAGCTAACAGAAGTCTGCTAATCTGCTCTCTTATTAATTGAGGTTTGTAATGTACAGCTAGTCATATGTTAAAGTACTATAATGTTGCCTGCTGAAGTATAGACATTTTTGCTTTAGAAAAAAAATGTGGCTACAAGAGGCTAAATGTGGCTACATACACATTCTGGCCACGTTTATATTGTGAATCTAGAAAAGTATATTCTCAATTTCCTAATTTCCAACTCATCTGTACTTGTGTGCCATGGCCCTCAATATCGTCACTGTTGCAAGGTTTCGTCATTAATATGAATGATAACAAAAGAGAAATACTTAGCAACTAAAACAGAACCGCCTGTATGCATTGGGCTGTCTGTCTATTGAGAGCTAAACAACATGCCCATCTGGTTGGATTTGGATCACACCATATAATGACTCATTTAGTTCACAAAACACCATTGGTAGTCTTCATGCAGTTATCCGGCTTCTAGAAACAGTTTTGTTCTGCTGCTGTCGGAGCTGAGGGCTGTTCACTCTGGTGTCAAGTTAAGAATTGGCAGTGAATCGTCTTTACTTTGTGAAACCCTAAAGCAGTGTTGTGTAAAACGTTTTGAATTGCAGATGGAATACATTTGTGTTAAAATGCTGCAGTTCAGAAAGAGGTCACATTTTAATAGATACATGCCAAGAAAAATAGGTTATTTCTTACACAACTCAGGTATTTTGAAAACGCAGGATAAAACTGTGTGAAGACTGATAAAACACATTTTCAGCAAAACTACTTTGTAATGGTGAGATTACCATTACCAAAAACGTATTTCGACATACATTGAACAGACTTAATCAATCTAAAATACTTTGGTTTTACATTACTTCTTAATTCAAGCAAGACATTTGTGATAAGAACTAGATATTTACCTTGTTGGCAAATATATTGTCTTGATATTTTGTTGAATGTTAAGTCAATATTAAGTGATTGTCAGTTCTTTTTTGGAATTGTAAAGTGTGAAACATTTTTTTCCTAGGCAAACACCAGTTAGACCCACTCATTCTCACCACCCACTGCTTCCTGATTGGACAGAAGTCATTTAAATACAGAAACAAGGGCCCTTGTCATTAGTATAACTATTCTCCTCCTATGAACGGTCGTGGGTTATGCCAAGGGGAAGGACTGTGTTAAAGATAAAAAATACTTTTGTGATACTACAGGGTTATTTGCTGAAAAATGAATTGAATGAATTAAGTTAATGACATCACCTTTAACTCATGATTGAGTCTCTTCCGCCCGAAATGATAAATACAGACTAATTTGTTTAAAACATTCACATTTTTCTTATATCCTTATCACTTGTTCAGACAAAGACATTTCTTTTCCATAATCTGAACTTGAATTCTTTGGCCTCCTCTCTCATTTTAGTGTTTAATTCAGTCCATTTAATGTTTAAGTTCTTTTTTCCTTTGTTTTTTCAAGGCTCCTGGGTAAACTGTTGTGGTTAAATCTCATATCAGAGCTTTGACCCCTTCCGCTCTGATGCATATTTTGCTCTACACTTCCACCATCAGCGTCTCCGCCTCTCTGGAGATAAGACTTGCACACGTTGTTGTATATTCCTCATCTCGCCTCGTCTTTCTGTGGTACATGTTTATGTTGCCGTGCCGACACAAAAGGAGCAGAGCATCGCGGTGTATCTGGGGGGAATCTGAATATCAGACTGCTTGAGCGCGTCTCGCAGTCACAGGATACCACACTATCTGCTTTCATGTGTCTGCTTGATTTATTACCAGGCTTTTCACAGGCCCGGGATGAAAGCAAACAAATGTGGAGCTAGAGAGGAGCCCCGGTGACGTTTTGCCTCTTTAATAAAGCTGTCTTGCTGCGAGAGGGAAGTGCACTGTGTATAGGAGGGGAGCGAAAGTCTGGAGGTAAAGTTCTGGCATTCCAGCGGAGGTTTTCCTCTGTTTGAATTCCCAAAGGAAGAGGAAGCACTTCTGACTTCCACAGTGTATAATAAATAAAAGCATGTTCTCGAACTAAGGTAAGGTTAGAAGTAAAGTTGATAGAAAGTACCGCAACGACAAGCATGACGATATGGCTGTAGCTGCTTTTGGCCTGCTGTGGCCCCTGGTTTACAATCTGTAGTACCTAGAACGTTTTCTTTTTTTTGCCCCAAGTTCCAACAGAAAGAGTGTAGTTTAAATAACATTTTGCCTTGTGTGATTGTTTCTATTTTGTTTTGTAAAGCCCTTTGAGTTGCCTGGTGGATGAACTGTGTGATACAAAGAAACTTGACTTGCCTTGAACAAATCAAACCACAACATGCTGTCTTTATCTTATTAGAAATCATAAGATAAGATAAGATGAGATAGACTTTATTGATCTCACACAAGAGAAATGTACATGTCCCATCTGGCATGGATAGAAACACTCAAGATTTTGCAAAAGAAAGAAATGTGCAAACATGTTAAATGTGGGATACATTATGTACAATAAAAAGTGGCAATCAAAGAAACAGTGTCAATAGTAGTGCAGGTTTTTCAGTCCTAATGCAAGTGACTTAAAGTGATTTATTGTTACAGTGACAGCGGTGGGGGTAAAGGCCCCGTGGTTGCGCTCCTTCTTGCACTGAGGGTGTCTCAGTCTTCCACTGAGAGAACTCCTCAGCTCCTCCACAGTCCTGTGCAGTGTGTGATCTTTTACATCCTGATAGCTGAGGGAGGGCTGGAATTGTGTTGAAAAAGAGTACAACCCAGAGTTCATGAAACAAGGAAGAACTCTGCACACCTCTAAGCACCAGGGGCAAACAAAAGAGACTTGGACATGTTTCTGTATAGCTACTGTATCTGTATTTTTACTGTCTCTAAACCAGGGGCCACAGCAGGCCAAATGTAGTCGTGCTATTGTTGTAAAGCACACCTTTGGAATCCAGACGTTAACTTTAATTGCATTGACAGACATTTGTTTTTGATTGTGTAACACATTTTGGCGACAGTGGCTCAGTTGGTAGAGCGTTGGCCTCTGAGACTGAAGGGGGAAGAAGACGAATGAATGGATAGATAAAATTCCACCTCATTATAATTCCAAGAACGGCTCAAATCCAGTCAAAACGTTTTTCCAATCCATGTTGTCGGCCGTTGAACAATTCTGGTTAACTAAAGTGGCCCTTTTACTAAACGGTTTGGTCTAGGTGTGATGGTGTAATATTGGTGAAGATAATGCCGGTAATAGTTATCATCACGTTGGATTTGTATATTTGCATCAGATGCTTGGTGTTTGTTGAGATTACCTGACTGGGGGTCTTCTGCTGTGGGCAGTTCCTAAAGTTGTACAAGACCAAACAGAAGAGGCATGAATATCGTCCTCATCACTGTTATGTTTAGCAGTTTCAACGTTTTTATCCCCATCTTTCATTCTCTTGCTCATGCCTGATGGAATGTCAAGGTTTAGGTTTATTTCCTGTTTTATTTTGAAATGTTTTACTCTTTACTTGCACTTCCTGTTCTCTGATTACCTGCCCCGCCCTCATGTGTATCACCTGTGTCTCGTTAGTATTTGTGTGTTCCTTCACTTCCTGTTCCTTCATTGTCATTCTTCGTCTGTTTCTGTTCTTGTCCTCGGTCCCTGTGTTTTTGCTGGATCTTGATTTTGTATTACTTTTTATTAAATCCATCATTTTGCAGTTTTGCATTTTGGGTCTCCTTATTTTTCACCCATCGTGACATGGAAGTCATTTAAACCGAAACGTTGCAATAAAATCTAAAATAGTGAGAAAGTGTGCTGGACGTTTGTGCGTCTCTAAAGGTGTTCAGAGCTTTTCATGTTATCAAAAGTGTGATCAATCTCTTTTATCGATTGACAGCACTCATTTTGTCCTTCACCTATCGCACACCAGGGTCAAGTAGGAGAATCTAATATATTTCCGGTTAGCTGTCATGACAACTATCAGCCAATCAGAGTCCAGTATGAAACGACTCTATTATCTGCTGTCATACATGCAGCTGAGGCGTCCTGTGCCCAGAGGAAAACCTGAATGACAGACATGTAATGGAAAGTGATGGTAATTAACCTCTACCTGACTGCTAATTGTGATTAATGAAATCAGGAGATGG